TGAAAGTGGTATGAGAGTGGCATGAGATGGCATGAGATGGCATGGCATGGCATGGCATGGCATGAACCTTTTTGGGACGGGCATGACACAGCCGCATCCCAATTGGGGCTGGCATGACTACCGTATAAGGAAATTTCACGGCATGGCATGCTGCAGCGAAGGGTTCGCTGCAGATAGTATAATATTAGGGTTCGCTGCAGATAGTATAATATTAGGGCCATGCGGTGTCGATTGCGTTGGACGCGATGTGAAGGATATGTCCTTCTGTTGGAAGTTACTTAACTTTGTTCAAATCCGCCATAAACTGGAACATACCTTCACACTTGAATCCTCTGTGGCTGATGCATTCATGGGCAGCGCATTGCTTTCGATGGAAGTAGTGGTTGTGCGAGCTAGTTTGGCTGTCTCTTGTCAAGCCGTCCTCAGTAACCATTCTAGATTGAAATTGGTGACTCTCAGCCTCTCATTCTCCAATTCAGGACAAGCTGTCCTTTTCACAACATCTTGTCATCTCCTCCATAAAGCGATCTCTTTGCTTTTCCACCTCAACTAAGTCTTTCCGTAAGCTTTCATTCTCGTGCCGAAGATCTTCAATATTGCCTAGAGTATTCATGTCCCGCAGTGTACCGTTATGGATCTGGAGGGATTGTGAGACAGGCCTGAGAGGGCTTCAGAAGGTGAACGGTGATGCAATGATACTCGATGGCCAGACATTGCACCACAGACCAATATCAATGTCATGCGAAATTACTGCAAGCCGCAAGGGGCAGACACTGGGAGATGCTGAGACCACATGCAGGGGGAGGGGGGGACCTCGGAACCCTTAACTGAGATTTATCATCAGTTAAGCGTCCAGCCATCTGGGGTAAGGGGGCTAACAGGCAGGTATCTGGCACATTATTGGGTACTTTTGGGTAACCTAAATAGAGCATATTCGGTGGAAGAAATACCACGAATCCTTATTCCTGGAATAGTCGACTGCTATTTCAAAACTCTGAGCTGGAACCGGCAAAGGAATCAGTTTGGAGACAATGTCGTCAATTTATTGCCATTTCTGGGAATAGGCGCTCGAATTTTTGCCTCTCTTGCCAACTCTCGTGGCATGGTGGGGCAGCCTATCATCAATAGAGCATATTCGGTGGAAGAAATACCAGCGAGTTTTAGGATTAGACTAAGCTGTGGTTTGGAATAAGGCAGCAGCTCTGCAATGATGATAGGCAAGGATGTTTCAAATAACCCACACCCTAACCGCGGACCCTAACTCAAACCCGGGGGGAATCCCCCGGACCCCCTTCCTAACCCGCATGCAGCAGGTGCAATGCTCACTCAGGCCACGCAAAACCGATATCCAGCTCTAGAGATGTGAATAACAATCTGCTGCACTTCAAGACTGGTTTGCAGCGCTTGAAAGAGTGGGATGCACCAAACCCAACTTGGGTCACTGTCACTTCAGATTCGGCCGAGATCCAGCGGCAGTACTATATGACACACTTGCACCAGTTGGGACTTGAGCGGCACAGATGACCAGCACTCTTGGTCGTCTCTGGCACTCGTCAAGGGCAACTGGATCAAAGGTGGGGAATGATCCCTGACTAGAGTCAGTTCAGCATCGGCAGCAGTCAAATTACTGTGCAGAATTATTTTCTTGCCATAACAGTTCAATCTGTAGATCATCAACCGTGGCAGGTGGCCACTTTGGTGGCTGTTAACGACCACTGGTGGAGCATTCATCACATCACATCACACATGGCACCACCGACTCGGTACACTACAGCCTGAGCAGCAGAGTTTCACCTAGCCGCTGCCCCACTGAATGGACTCGGAGAGGTATCAGAACACCCTTGCAACCTCTTGCACCTAGCACCAAAATATAATGTCCAATCTTCCATTGTATTTCATATGTTCCCGTCCTCTTCTCTGTGCATCGGTGCCGCTGCTCTTTCTGCTGAGCCTTTATTGATACAGACAGAAAAACATTTCTCCATACCTGTGTGGCACACTGCAAAGAATGGGACAAGCTGCAGCTCAAGCATGCAATGCTGAAGGAGTGTGGTACACTGCCTGGAATAAGGTATATAGCAGCAATATGCAATGGGTCGTCACGCCAGATGATATATAGGATGCGTAGAGTTGTGTCATCATTAACCACTCCCGCAAGCTGAGATTCTAGATCTGT